AGTAAGAAAAAGAGTTCAAAAGGAAATAGAAAATCGATATTTTGGTAGCCAGAAAGCAAACCGCTTAAACAATTTTAGATCTAGTGAGAGAGACAGAACTAGAGAAAACACACACACAGAGTGGGAGAGAGAGAGAGAGAGAGAGAGAGAGAGAGAGAGAGAGAGAGAGAGAGAGAGAGATTGTCACAAGTACGACAACTAAACCAAAGTTCTGTATTCGTAGAACGAGGTATTCTGCATTCCTTTTTAACGCTCTCTTTCCTTCCATAGCCAGACCCACAGCTGCGTAATTACTACTGCAGTTTCCGGTATGATGACGTAACGTACAGTCACAGCGATCGACCTTGCACCTACTCTTTGAAACAACAAAATGAGGCTGGGCATCAGACCAAACTTGGTGATTCGTGGTGAATGCCACTCTCCCGGCGGGCTTCCGTTTTGTTCCTAGTCCATAGATTAGTCGGCTGATGAGAGACCAAAATTGGACATCTTTAAAGTCCAGCTCTGAGGGCAAAATACTTAATTTTTTTCTCCAAATGATTTCCAGAACACCTATTGGCCTTACCTGTAGTGGTCTATAGGTGGAATAAAAGTGTTCTGTCCGAAAAACAAAATATTCTGTGTCCACACCAGACAAACATATTAACAGATTATGAATATCAGCTCTTACAAGTCGAACTGATTTGCTGCAGCAAGTAAGTTTTAAATATATTATGAGAACATATGTAAGCATTCTAAATTTTAAAAAAAACTGTATTTCAAAATTCAAGCATGTATTACACCCTCCGAATTTTAAGAGGAGAATGAAGATTTGGTATGGGGATACATTTACAATGCAGGCAAATTAAAGTTAAGATATGTCTCATATGAGGAAAATACAAACAAACAAACAAACAAACAAACAAACAAACAAACAATAAATAACGAAACAAGCATCTAGCTAGTAGACTTCCGAGAGTTTAACAACAACAACACCCCCCCTCTCTCTCCCTTATCACATATATATATATATATCTCATTCTCTCTCCCTTTCTCTTTCTGCCTGTCAGTATGTCTGTCTGTCTGTCTGTCTGTCTGTCTGTCTGTCTGTCTGTCTGTCTGTCTGTCTGTCTGTCTGTCTGTCTGTCTGTCAGCTCTCTCTCTCTCTCTCTCTCTCTCTCTCTCTCACACACACACACACACACACACACACACACACACACACACATACACACACACACACTCACACACAGACACACACATACATACACGCGCACACATACAAAGACACAACCACAGAAAGGACCGAGCCGTCGTAAAAGACTAAGAGATTATACATGCCAAATGCTTTCTTGACAACGGACTAAAAACGATAGGTACTCACTCCAGCAACCTTCTCGTCAGTAATGACGTCTAAATACCTTGGTTGTCTTTGACAAGGATGATGCCCTTGGCATTTTGTCCTTTAGTGGGCTGTGTGTATTTCTGTCGACAGAAGAGCTTCCTTGTTAAAGGTTAATTGGACAGAGGCAATTTTTTTTTGTAACCGTATAGCCTTTCAGAAATTTGCAATCTTGCCTTATCGACTTTTGTAGAGTGTGGTAGGATTTTTCTCATACAGTACATATATATACATATGTATTGCGGTTTTTAAAAAAAGATCAATGATGGCGTTACTTCGTTACAGCGGATGGAGCATGCGGTCAACACGGCATACGTGTTTTGGCTCATGGGGTCCACAACAGAAAGTTGAGACCACAATGGCCTCGCTTTTGTCCAGTGACTCTTTTCGCTGTTGCTGTTCCTTGAGCTCAGTACCATGCTCATTAGAAAAAACAACGTGACGATTTCGAGGTATGCTGAGAACTTGTGACTGGCCCCCACAAGACTAACTAATTATACTCCGGCGTTGACAAGTGCGATGATGCCCGAAAAACTTAAGCCAAATCAAACTTATTCCCCATGGTTTTCCTCATTATGATGGCCTTTCACTGTGTCAGAAAACTGCTAGAATGCGCTTAAATTTTTTCAGTTAACAGTAACAAATGATTTTGGTCTGAGTAAAGAACAGTCATACGATTAGGGAATTACCCCCCTCCCCCTCCACTCTCTCTCCCCAGAATTTTACTGAAATCATTACTAACTGACCTAGAACATTGTCGGAGCACGATGACTATTTATAGTCACCCAATGCAACTATATCAACCTAGACAGAAAACGTAGACGACACTTCCGTTTCCCCCAAACAAGTGATACACAAGAAGAGTAAAACCGAATGGCTATCAGGCGAGTATTGGTACTCAGTGGCTTCTCGTCCGCAGATCTAATCATTACAACAAGCTCTTGTTCACTCACTTGCCGTAATAATTAATGCGTTAAATCTGGGCTTTCATTTCGGATTTCGTCTCGTCTTTGAGGTTCAGCAACGTGAGACGTGTGATTTGCCAAAAGTTCTTCCTGATTATTCTGAAAAACATTCCTTAATTTGTGTTTGTGAACCAGGTAGCACGAATTAAAAAGAAAATTAACCTGGAAACACACACAAAAGGAACAAAAATTGGTGAAATAAAATAGTGTTTGCAAACTTTACTATTATTTAACGTTCCGTCTTTTGTGCGTTTTAATTTACAACAGGGGTAAAGGTATCTATTGTGTGTTGTATTTGAAGATCTCTAGCTGTGCAGTTGTTGAAATAAAATTACGGTCGTTTCAAATTCCTAATACAATGCGGGACTAATGCACTTCAAAAATCAAATTCCACTTTCAGACAAAAGTCTGACAGTAATGCCTTGAGTATCCTGTTTGGCCTTTTCCCCCCTGACTTTGAGTTTCAATATGCTTAAAGACGAAGAGGCCTTTAAGTGCAACCTCCTATTACGTCAATACTGATTAAATCAAAGTCCGAACTGGAGCTCTTAACAGAGTTGGTGGGGTTTTTCTCTTTCTTTTTTTTTTTTGTTAGCTCGGCGTTTCACTCTTGACATGAAGTCGATTTAGTGCTTTAGTTTATTATGTCAGCAAAGAAGGAGGAGTTTCTTTTGTTTTCTTCTTTTTTTTT